ATTTCATTGATTTATATAAAACAAGTTTCTCTATTAAAATTAATTGTAAAGTGAAAAAATATTTATTTATATTATTTTCAATTTTATGTAAATATATTCATATAATAGCCTTTTACACCTGACTAAAAAATATACCAATTGAATTGTACATTGATTTGAGTTAAGGCAAAAGCAATCAATTTATATATGTATTTGAGCTAATTTTATGATTCTCGGGTAATTTATTAATTATGTTTAATTCGGTTGCTTATTCAATTATTTATGAATTTCTAGTGACACATGTTAAACACAAATACGCCAATATTAATCATCACTACAAATTTTATTTTTTATATAATAATTATATACAAACATATAATTGTTATATGTTTGTAAGACTGGTAGCAAATTATTGGAGTAATTTACATATAAAGAGCGCATTATCATTTTCTTCTTACAACCCTCTGATACAACAATTCAAGTATGTTCTCTTTAGTTTTTAACTCTTGTGGACTAAAATCTTTAAGAATTATTAACTGTAAAAGTGGACAAATCAAGGTTCTTGTGTAACTAGATATATATCAAAACCGTTGATCGCATAGAAGAACATTACATTAAAATATGTTAGTTTCCCTTACCCTAATACTGAGTTACTAGGGCACGAATATATTAATTATTTCAAGATGTCCTTTTTCTTCTAACGGGTTTATTAATAAAAAGAAAATATGACATTTTGCAACGTAGGTTAACACAGCTGTCAACATTTGACCTAAAATCTACATAGTAAGTACGTTATGACTGGACACTGCAATTTTTAATTATGAATACAGAATACGTACTAGTGAGATTTCACCAAAAGTAATATTTATGAACCAACAAATTTTTTAGATATTGCTTAGTATTCATTTCCAATTGTTATCCAAGAATTTTTAGATAGAATACATATTTAGCAACTGTTGTTCAAACTTAAATAAATTATAAAGTTATCAAATTTATGAAGACTTCAGTACACTTCCATAAATATTTTAATTTCTTATGGTTAATGAACATAGCAAACATGAATCAACCAACCACCCCTTTTTAAAGTCGGACAGCTGCCTTAAGTTTAAAATATATTTAAAATATTGATTTAAAACTAAAAATGGAAAAAATATTTAACTAAAAAAAATTGTGTTACACATCAGTGCAAAACACATAATAAGTTAATAGATCTTTTGTAGCTGAACCTTTATTATTATAAAATCACTCTCTTAAAATCATAAGCCAATTAAAAACCTAAATACTCACAAGGAACTTAATAAAATGCCTCCTTTATATTAAGTTATAGTAATATTTAACAATAAAAATAATGTAATTAATTGGAATCTTAAGATCTCTACAAAATTCATTATTAAATTAGTGTAAACTTAAAAAATGTAACAATCGACTATATAATAAGTCACTAGAGATGTATAGGGAAGTATTTTTCGGTCGGGGTGTCAGTATATGTTTAGCGTTAATGGCGGTCACATTGTTCTCAAAATGCCTATACGTGATTTTTTTAAATTAATTTTTGTGACTTTTGTATTAAAGTTAAATTATTTTTAGTGTTAAATTGATATTTTAAATATATTTTTAATTTAAATAAGATTAATCACTAGTGATAATTTTTTATTATATCTAATTAAGATAATGACTGGTGTATTACAACTTTTCGACCAATATTTCAGAAGTTATTAATATTTTTATAACTAGGCGGGAAGAGTGTTGCCAAATATGATTAGTGATAAAAATAACAACACCAGCGTCTCACTTACATTCATCATTTTGAAATGTTAATTATTTGTGAAATAGTGATCCTAAAATTGTTATCGACCAGTAATTTTCTTAACTTGATCATTATCTAATAAAGAAGCTCTTTAATAGATTGTTGTCATTTGAAAAAAAAAGTTGAAGTCCTTGTGAGGTTTAAGGGATGAATATAAAAAAAAATAATGCAAAAAATGAAAGAACGATTTTTGCAGTTAAGGGGTAGAAAATATTGAATAAATAAGTAATATAATATGAACATAAAAATATTCCAACCGTTCCGAATAAAATCATTAAAATTATTGAGACGATTTTGGTCACGGTACATTTTATGAATATTACGATCAACTCTTAAATGTCATTATAACTAATTAATAGACAAAAATTCTTATTGTTTTATATTTATTAGCTCTGGCGATGTTTACACGTACTCGTATTGATGATATAATTATCAATTTAGAGTTTTATGTAACTTTCCAGTAATGCGCAATTCTATGTAAGAATATAACAATCATAATTGTTAGCTAACACAAACACGTGTCACTTAAATATTTGAAATATGAGTCAAATTACATACTACACTGAACTGAAACAAAGAGTAAAAATTATCATCTCGTAGATTATTTTATTAATGGTACACATTGCATCATTTGTGTAATGCAAAATTGCTAGAAACGATTCTCAAACATGTGGATTTAGATTTGATAAATGTAAATCAAAAACTTAATGCTGAAATATTAATTTTTATGTTTTGTTATAAAAAAAATTGTGAGCAGGTAACTTTCTATGTGTAATCTTCTCCCTTGATTATTTTCCAACGTAATGGATTTTTTGTGTGTTCTATATAAGACGATAATAAATTTTAGTGACGATAAGTTAAAAAAAAAACCATATCAATACAATAAAAGCTAAAAGAAATATTATTTAGGTTCTTCTTCTATAGGGGAAGAACCTAAGATTAAAACTTATTCTATTATCTTACTCGCCGTACATTCTATTACAGCGCAACTCTTCAGGTTTAACCGATAGATTGCTGTTATTAGTGTCATATTGTAAATTAAGAAAACGCGCATAACCTATTTTGAAAAAACGATTTTTCAATAAAATAACAATAGAAATTATTCAGTCAAAAATTGTTGCCAAGCTATTCATAAAACTGATGTTTGTGCGCGTGTACGTATTAATGTGATGTTTACGATATTGAATATATCAATATTTACACAAACATGACCTAAGACACTATTTGATTTTTACCGCGTCCGTAAGCTAACTGAATTGTTAAATTATAATTTCTATTAAACAATGCAATTTGTCCGCACATTTGATGGCGTTGGAAATTAATACCCGAAAAAATTTCAAGATGCGAAAACTGATTTTGATAATATCATTGGACAAACTACTACAATATTTTTATGTAACAATTGTGATAGTGGTGTGCAGTATTTATGTTAAATCTCATTTTCATAGAGATAAATCGAGTAGTTTAAGATATTTTTCGCGTGCCGTCTCATTTGGTTTGTGTGGCATTTTAGTGATGTAACGTGTCTCCAATACATTAAATGTGTACACAAGTAAACAACTGCCGTCATCCGATCGCTGAGACAATTCATCGCAATGTGTACTGCTTCTGTCGAAACCCGAATTTTCACAAAACACAGCTGGACAGTACAATTCGTCGTTATAAATAGCCACAACACATACTAAAACAGCTCTCGTAAAGTTGATACAATTCAATAATTAGAAATTAACCCGACAGTAGTTAACATTTAATTTAACGTTAAGATCGTGTACGGTTCCGTTATTAAATTTCCGAAAACCAACCGAAAATGTCTGTATGATAATCATTTGTGTAGTAATCCTTCAATTTATTTAATATCTTCAACAACCGTAATGTCTGTGTCTGTTCTATTCGATGAACGTTCAAAGTAAACTACTAAAAGTTTTACAATTTAACATTGTAGTTAATAAATTTAAAGTTATTGAGCATTTTAGCTGCTCTTCAATATCAACTATAAATAATCACTTTTTAAGATACAACATTTTTATAGTTAGCCTTGATAAATCTTCTTTTTTTCATAAATGACGTTTATGTTTCATAATATTTGATGTATACGTTGTTTTAAAATTTTAAAATTTTAAATCAACAATTTAACTTAAAACCTGATCTTTAAGATTGCATGACATTAAATTAACTAAAATACCTTCAAAATAACAACAGTGTAAATATAATTAATCTGTGAATGTTATACTTGTTATTTATTGACAAATTAAAACAGGGAAATGTATCTAGACTCCCTACAAATATTTCCCTACTAAAATTTACAAGGAAATTTGAATACGTAGTGTTTTTATTTATGGAAATTTAAGAAATTTCATATTTACTCAAGTGAAAATTAAGAGTGATACTTATAAATAGATGGAAAACTTGATGATAATCAGTGTACTGGTTTTAAAAATGCAACGTGCAGACCATCTAATTAAGATGATGTTGAAAATAATTTTCAATTTGTATAATATTGAATTATATATGTTTACATTTATTGGGCATATATTGAAGCGATACAATAATGACTAACTTAAAGGTCTAAAATTATTTTTTAAATGTCGTATTAACTAAATAGAGGAACACAGGGAGTAGTGTGCTATTAACTATAAAAACTAGTAGTTTATAGGTATTAGGTTATAATTGTAACCTTATAACCTAATTACTTACATAAAGTACTTACTTAACATAATTATGTGCTTTATGAACTGTTGATATTTTAATAATTATCTCTCAAATTAAACACATGTAACTTCACACTGCGCTTGTATTTACGTTTCGATTTTTATTTGCTACCTACTGAAAAGCCCATAACATAATCAATAGCAATAAAACGATTATTTATTTTATAATTTGTAAAGGATATGACTAAATACTTTAAACTTTCAAACTTCTTTATGTGGAGGGCGACGCAAATTCGTTTTTGAAACCAGTTAATAAAATAAATAAACATTAAAGGTTATTATTTTTAATATAATATATTCAATTTTTATTATGTAATTTTTTTTCAATAAAAAACTATTTACTTCATTTTATTCTAAATAAATACAATGAGTAATTAAAAATATTTGAGTACGATTCATAATAAAACGTTTTAAAGAAATAATATTTACAAATATAAAAATATTATAAAAATGTATAATACAGCAACTGATTTCTATTTTGTACAGATTATAAAAAAAGTATTTATATACATTTATACACAAGTTATTCTACAAAAATGTATAAAAAACAATTCCAAAGAATAAATAAAAATTTACAAAACAATAATAGCAATATATAAAAAAGTTCAATATAAAAATAATAATAAAAAAAACAACAACATAAAATCAAATCTCTATTAACATATTTATAGTTCTTTAATAAAAAATGTGTACGATTTAATTGCATAATTTATTTATACATACAAAAACATCTATTCTTATTTACACGCGTTAAAGTCTCATAACTCATTAATATACCTTTTATTCTTTAATTATCTCCTTTTTATTCTATAAAAACTATTTATACATTTATAAATTTTTGTATTTGTAAAATATCAATTTTAATATTAATATTTCTTCTAATAATTTTTTTTAACGATATTTTCCATAAAGTCTTTCATTTGATCTTCGTTCGGAAAATAATAATTCATGTACAAATTCATTGTAAACAAACAAGGTTTTACGATAGTGTTTTCAAATATTTCTTTGAGTTTTTCTCTGTTAAGATAAAAATTAAAAAAAAAAAAAAAAATAATGTTATTGAATAATATTTTTTAATTATTAATAACTTTAATACATACTTGAGTTTCTTCCATCTTTCATCGACAATGTTTCTCTTTTGACATCTCCTTTCGTACCGCACGAAAATATCATCAATTACTTTGGACATACTATCGAGTTTTGGTTGAATTTTGTTAAAAACCTAAGAGCAATTCATATTTATTTACTATCTCATGGCGTTTATCGGAAAATTACCTGTTTCATGTATTGTAATATGTCGTCTAAATACATTTTGTCATTTTTTTCTAAGACCATGTGAGCTAACTCGTCAAATTTTCTGTTCATGTTAGATAAATATTGTAATGGCACCATAAGTGCATTCAAAACAGTGCATTTGTCATCGCCTAATATATATGTAGTTTTGATAAATTCATTTTCTTTTGCTTTGTTCTTTTTCCTACACAAACGGAATTAAAATTGTTAAGAAATGTAAAATACGAAGTAATAGTTGAATTATTATTAATGACACCAAACATTGTTGTTTTAATTATTCAATTAGTTGTTCAAATTATCTTTATACTTACATTAGTCTAGAGAGACCTTTTAAAACGGACACTGTATGGTGGGCGTATAATTGATAATGTTTATACTGAGTCATGACGTGTTCACGGATCACCTTTAAGAGATCTCTCATTAAAACATCCGCTTTCCATAGAGTTGCAAGTCTTTTTACCACCGCATTAGAAGCGACGACCACTGAAGAACAAACGATAAAATATTAATATGTAAATGGTTTTCCGTTGAGAGCGGACAAAAATAACCATACTTTGAATGAGATTGTGTAGAATAGTTTTACGGGTTCCCTTGTCCACTTTTAATTCACACGTTATTAAATCCATGATGATCGGAATGCAGTCACTGAGCATTCCGGAACTAACCATCTCTTCCCTGAGTATTTCGAATTTTTTGGCGTATATCGCAATCCTGTCACCACGCAAATTCTCATCTAAGAACAAAAACAATACATTGATAACGTGTCGCGCTCGATATTTAACAATGAAAAATCGAATATACTCACCGTGCAATAATTTTCTATTTTTTACTTCTTCAACGTTTAAACCAATTCCAGTTTTGTTAGCCATTTAGTGTGTGCAGATATTTACCGAAGAACTGTTAGTTGTATCCAATAGAGGATAACAAATGTTAACTATCTTTTGAGCTTTACTTTTGTTTGGAATCTTCCGCCTAGAAACACTTTGGACATTCCCACGAAATGGTCGCGATGCCTCGGTCGGCGCGTATAGAGACTTGGTGCGAAGAGATCTCGATGTACAAGCGATTGTAACGGAAAATAGACAGCAACTGTCGTCATACTTTTCCGGATACTTTTTTTACACGTTTGATGTCGATAAAATTTCGTCATTTCGATCTTTGGATTGAGCGTATCAGTTAGGCTAAGGAATTTAATCATATAGAGGACTCGGGTAATGCGCAGTTTTGTGCCAGACACACATACAAAAACGGAATTCTCCGCTATTTTTATCAATAGATTTTTTCACGTGATCAACGTGGGAACGAAAACGATTGTTTACTATAGATAAGAAAAAAATCATTAACAAAAGAACAATTATAGTTTATTAATATAATGTTTATATTTGCATATTAATCATTAAACTTTATGCATGACAATACTGAAGTAGTTAGGAATTCTCAATGTCGTTCTAAATGCTTTATAACGAACGAGATTTTCTGATAAATTTATGACTAATTAAATCATTTTTTCACGACTAATTATTTATTAAATTTGTCCCAAACACTTTATTATTAACACTTAATAAATCATAACTAGAATTATTTTTAAGAGATACAAGTAAATATGTATAATTAAGGGTTTTTTTTATTCTTTTTTTTTTAATAGACAAGTGCACAGAAATATAAAGTTAAATTACATCAATTAAAGTATCAATTGCATAAGCATATATTGAAGAATATTATATGTAACAGTAAAACAGGGTTTTCCTATTAATATAAAAGTGCAAACATTTTTTTTTTTAATTCAAAATAAATGTAAAAAATAGTTTTTAAAAAATCATACAACATATAAAGACGATGATATTGGTTTATTTCATATTTCTTTGGTCGCAATTAAAATATTTTTATTCGAACTAAGGAACAGTGTCGTTGTATTATATAAAATAAAGAATCATTTCAAATATAATCATTTTATTTGTGTATACAAAAGGAATTTATGCAGATAAATACAATCAATCTAGTTAAAACAGCTGTTGTATAGTTAAAAAGAACATTGTTTATTGTAAAAAAACTTTTTTTAGTATCACAAGTTATAATTGTAGGTATTTTTGATAATGTTACATCGAATATTATCGTAAGCGCCAACAATGCTCTTTACGGTTTATTTTGTAAATAAACAAATAGTTCATTTCGAACATAACAAACGGATGCTTAATATAAACACTTCATATTTTATTCATTTTGTAATCGGTTAAAAATAGAGAATTATTCCTAAACACTTTTAAATCACATGTTATATATATATTTTTTAAAGGTGAAAGTCTAAATATGTTTTTAATTCATATAATTTTGACAAATAATTTTACATAATAATCGCAAAGTCCAATTCCCTCACTTTAAAATAGTTGTCAAGTATTGATTGTTAGGAATTGTAGATTTGCTTGTTACTATCAACTCAATTTTTATGCCGAAGTTCAACATTTTTAACAAGTGTTAAACTTTTAAGCGTTTCCCGTTATAAATAAATGATAATATTTAATTTATTATTGTACTCTCTCGGTTGATTATATAATCAAATAGAGTAGCTTATTTGAAGATGGGTGCCTGAGAAGTTTGGTTGAGTAAGATTATTTTTGAAATTTTCATTTAAAAAATATTCTTAGCGTACAAATATCTTATACCATGAACTATAATAAAGTACTATATATATTATTATTATCTACTATGTTTTATTAAATTGAGAAAGAAGTATTTTATTAGACAACACGTAAAAAAAAGGTGATCAAGTAATATACAGAGTGATTCTTTTAACGCTAGCCATTCAATTTATCATAAAAAAACATGTTTTATGAATTATTTTTTTTGATTTTGTTAGTCAAATATGTATTTCCATTTATCTGTTATAAAATAATTTTTAGGTCCATCCCTTATATCTTACAGAGTTGTCAACTTTATTTTTTCTAAATGACAACATATATATTTAACTAGTTTATAAAATAGAAAATAATCTAATTAAGAAAATGACTGCTCGATAACCACTTTTAGTATAATACTTTGAATATTATTAGTATTATAAAATATAGTCTGAAAGTGAAGCGAGGAAGTTGCTATTTTTATCATTATCATTAGTCGAGTGTTCTCCTTCTTTCGTCTTGGTGTATCACTGTAAATGTTTTCCGAAGCACTGGTTTAAAATTTTTTATCGATCAGTTATTTTCTTAATTATATAATTTTCTATTTTATAAGCTAGTTAAATATGTATAACACCATTTAAAAAAAATTAAGTTGATACCCCCCTTATAACACATAAGGGATGAATATAAAAAATATTTTATTACAGATAAATGATGATACATATATAACTAACCAAAGTAAAAAAAAACCTTATCAGCTTCGCATCAAGCTAAAAAAAATAATTCACTAAACATTTATTATTTTAAGATAAATCGAGTGACTAGCATTAAAGAATCACCTTGCATGTCGTGACATCTGAAAAAATCTTACTTACGCCATTAATCAAATAGAGTCTAAATGCATTTTTGTATAATAAATAAACAGGCCCGACTTAACGGGGAAAATAAGGCCGAATGCCCCAGCGCCCATGAGCTTAAAGGGCGAATCACAAATTTTACTGGCCCGTAATGATTAGTGACATACAGTTTTTTGTTTTTGATCATCACTTTTTTATGACAGCGATATTTTCCATAGGAGTCACATTTCAAGGTATCGATTCGAGGCCCATATAGGTTTCTTAATCCATCCCTAGAAATAGATTATGATATGATTCCAAAATCTAGATGAGGATTATAATATAAATTAAATCCTAACAGTATGGTTTAACAACAATAATTGTAACCTACAAAATTATTTTGTAAGTTATTAACTCTCGAGTAATTTTTATGTTTATACAATATCAAATAGTATATTGTTAATATTATCAATGTTTATTGTTCAAACACTCGTTAAATATACCAGGTTTTTCTCTTTTTTTATACTAATTATTATATTTGATTAAGACGCTATGTATTGAGTAAATTCGCTATTTTAATTTGTGTGAATCAACACTGAGGTTTTTTATAAATTATAATGTATTGTCTTACTCTCTTTAAATAGTATTGACTTTTATAAATAAACTCAATATCGTTAGAAAAATGTTTTTACTTAGGTCACAATAATTGTGTGTAAAAGAACACTAAAATAAAATTCTTTTGACTCCACGTCGTATTATGTCATTGAAAAATAATTGAATATGCTTTATGATTAAAAAATTAATTATTCAAATATAGAAATTTATTGAAGAACTAACTAGACGAAAATAGAAATATAAAATTTACGAGTATTTACTATGACTGACATAGATAAAAGTTAAGAAAAAAAATGTATTAATAATTTTTTCTAATATAACAATGACACAGTGATTTTATCATTTTAAATAGCCACAAAGTAATTTTCAGGTGGATTATTCATTAAAAAAAAATATTAAGGCCACTTCTGTTTTTCTATTTTTATTCGATTAATAGAAAAAAGAGCACCCGATAAAAGTAAGTATTAATGTAAAAAATAATTTTTTTTTACTAGAAAAAATTTAAATTATTTGATATCAAATCTTGTGTGATCGGTGATAAAAAGTTAAGGTTGCATTTCATTAGGAAATTCATAATTTGCTATTTACATCGAGTTCATTACTAATATCTAGAAAACAGTTCTCATTTAGGAGTGGCAAATGTTGAATTAGCTTATGCAGCATATCTGAATAAATCTTTGTAGATAATTTAAGTCGTACTTTACTCACCGCTGTGTATTTATATCAAACTGTGGCGGTATTACAAACTATTCTTGATTTTTTTTAATAATCCAAAAATGAACGGTTAAACAGATCGGCCGGATGTACCGAATGTTTTGAATGAATTTATGCAGACAATTGTGTACAACGTAGTAGGCGACTAATGACCACACGCGAAAACCTAAAGTTTTTTATTAGTTAATCAAATTTTGAAATTATCAAGATAAGATGAATCTCAATAAACATTTCTAAAAATGGAAACGCCGTTAATTTTGTTTGTTTACACCATAATTAACTCTGAATTTATTGTATATAAAAATTGCATGGTCCTAAACAAACAAAAATAATTACAAAGTACTATCACAGGAACATTAACACATACATCACGTGGTTATGTGTTTGTATAGTTTTGCACTAACTCTTTACACTAGAAAAATGTTTGGAGAAAACATTTATGTCAAAAGTGGTAAGATATTGCTAGTTGACCTAACCATAAAAAACCACCTCTTAGTAGGTTTTTTATGGTTAAGTTAGGTTTGAGTTGGGTCTAAAACTGGTATCAAATTATACTGCATCAAGTGAAATTTGTTCAATATATATGCAATTAATTTTAAATTATGACAACTGTTATTTCCACGAATGCTTATCAGTTAAATACTTGTAGATTTGATTTTAGTAGTGGCATTGGATAAACTTTAGAAAGAACTGTAGAAAATACTGCTCTTTTGAATTTAGTGTTAGAATATTTTAATTTCATACATTAAAGAACTTTTTTTTATCATAACTTCAGAAAAGAGGTCATAAATTATCTAGGATTACAGAATTTGGCGAAACTTACCATAATTCTTAAATACGGCGTAGACTAGTCGTTTTTTTTCTCTCGAAAAAATTTACATGTTGAAATGTAAACTATTGAAGCGAATATTTTAAACAATGCACAGTGTACGAATTACGCGGTATTTTATTGAATTATCACAATAGAACTCAAAGTCCTTCACATTTTTCCGATAACGGCTATAAACAATTTTATTGTGACAAAATTATTTACAATTAGCATAATTGCTATTGAACTTTCCTAGTCGTTTATTGTCCGGATGAAAACATTTTTTCTCCGATCTAAAAATAAAACATGCATTTCTATGGAGTTTCCTAAACAAGAAAATATTATTTTAATAATTCTTCTCAGATCGATCGAAACGCTTATCCGTAGCAAATTAACATTGGGGTAAAAGTTTTTTCTATTTTGTTGATATTTTTATGGTGTAATGTCGTTGATGTATGATCAGAAGAAAATATTGACTGAAAAATAACATTTTAACTGAATTGTTTAGTTTTTATTTTAGAATTGATTGTTACAACGATAAGTTTCTTTAAAATTTCATTGTTAAAAAAAAATATATATTGAACAAAAATTTTTTTCTAGTTGATACATTTTTCTGATCCTATACCAATGACGATGTTTAAAATAAGTAAATACTATGAACATGCAAACACATTAATGAATATTTTTTATGTATTTAACGTGTTAATCGTACTCATAAAAACATAATTTACTTGATGATATATTTTCATTAAGTTAATTTACAACACATATTATTAATAGAAAACTAGTTATGAAAAACAAACTATTTTCGAATGTCTCGACTTAGTTGTTTCTGTTTAAATTATAATACTTTGATACTTCCGACAAACCATACTTGAAAGACGGTAATTGATAGCTATTCGTACATTTTTTTACGAACCTGCTTTGATTAACAAATTCATAAATACCAGTTTATGACGTCGTTTAAAATTTAATCATGTTTGATTAAATGTCATTGTTTTACTTAATTTGTGACATATTTAAGAACAATTTTAAGGACAATTTTAGACTTGTGGCAAGTAATAAAACTTTCCTTGGGGCCCAATTAGTTTTTTGTGACGGTGCTGATTAATTTCGTTAGTACATTTTTCAGCAAAAAAAAAGTTTCATTTTTAAGTTGTGTATTAAATTATGGTTGACATATATGGCACATTTAGATCTGTCTAGATTAACGCGATATCAATATTCAATGAAAATTCGAGTAAGATACCTCCATTGCTTTTACCGGAAGACAGCTCTAATTTTATATATATTTTGTTAGCGAACAATAAACTTAACCGATCCTAACATCAGTTATAAATTATGCTATAACGTTATTTTATAAAAAAATTTTTTTTAGAATAAATTTATTTTGTTTTCAAGACATTAATAATAACAAATTAAAACAAAAATAACTAATGACATCTGCAAAATTTATGTTTATTAAAAAAAAAAAAAATTAAAATAAATTACCTGATATTAATCTAAATTCATTTAATAGATTTTTAAAACAGTATTAAAAAAATTAACATTTAACAATTTAGTTAATCTTACTAAATATCAGTTTGATTAAAATATTAACTGAAGAAAATTCCAATTGACAAATTGGCGATTGCATATAAAATTCCGTTAATCAAATTTTTACATGTTTAGGTGATGAAAATTACTATAAGTACTTAAATTAAATTTGTTTAAAAATGTGATGTTTATGAAACAGGTTATATCTACTCCTAAATATTTCTTTTAAGTATAATTTGTATGATAGTATACATAATTTTTTTTAGAGATTTTTCTCCATAAATATAAATTAAATTATATATTTTTACAAGACAGCGTATTAGTAAGCATACGTGTATGCGCACAATGGACCAACAGGTCTGAGTGCATGGGCATTATGTTCACCTCAATAATAACTAAAAAGCATACGTGTATCATTAAGCCAATATTGGTATTACTTTGTTCGTGAATTGACGTATTAAAAGAGGTATCACATTTAAAATGCGTTACACTAGAACCCGCATATTAGAAATTTTAAAACAAAAAAATGTTCAGTAATTTATACTTTTTCATATACAATTTTGTATGAGCTAATTTAATTTTTAAATGTACAATTTAATGTACAACTCCAAGAAAATAATTTTTCTTCTTCAGGTGCCAGCATAATTTTACCTCAACACTTGCATTTGAAAATTTTATACTTAACTGAATTAAATTTGTTGAAAATGTCTGTAGTTAAATAATTTAATGTGTTTTAACATTGAAAGTACAATTAAAAAAAATAGATTATTTTCGTAGTAATTTATACACGTTAAATACTTATGAATCAATTAACAACCTTTTTACATATTTATTTTAATTAATTTTACTTAATTAATTAGCCACAAGTGATCAATTTTTATTATATGCTTTTAACAATGTTTGACCTGTACATATATTATAACTTAAGAAAAAATACATTTGATATTTCTGTTATTATTTAAAATAAAAATATAAAAGTAAATTAATTTGTATATAAATTCTTTCATAACGTATATATTAATAGTTCAATGTTTATATTTTCTATAGAGAAGTTCATACATAATGTGAAAGAGAGAGTCATTCTCTTCCGTTCCATACTTTCTGCACAGTTGTGATATTCTATTATCCCAATTGTGAAAAGATGTTTAAGCAGATGCACATGCGCTGTCAGTAGTTTAGTCAGAGTGCATATTTGATATCTAGTCATGTTATTAAGATCTCTCCGTAGTAAACCAGGAGTCTTGATACATATTTTTTATTTCCTTGGTACCACAAAATAACTCCATATTTTTCTGTGTTGTTCTCTACATCAGTTTTTGAGTAGAATTTTGAGGGAATGCTTCTTCAGTCCTACCACTGGTTCTGGTACAAACATAGTTGTTTTCTGCACCTTTCCTTGCTAGAAAGTCTGCTTTTTCATTACCAGTCACACCACTGTGTCCGGGTGTCCATGCTAGTGTAACTTAATTGAACCTTGCTGGTGATTCTAAAATTGTCCTGGATTCAAGGACAAGTCTTGAAGTCACTTGATTATTACTAAGTGTCTTCAGAGCAGTTTGACTGTCGCTTAGGATAGTTCTCAGGCCCGCATTTAGGGGGGGGCATTGTGGGCATTTGCCCGGGGCGGCAAAAATCTTAATAGGTATACAATTTTTAAAAATTAATTATTTTTATTTAATTTAAAATTTTTTCAAACAGAACAATTTATTTTTATGAAACAAAAATATCTATTTCTAAAAAAAATATTACTTTATTATTTTCTAATTTAAAACGTGTACAAAGATATAAATGTAAAAGAAGATATATCAAAGCTGTATAACAACATAGACTACAGTTAGTAGTTAGATAATAGTATTGATTATACATAGTAATTTTTATAATCAATAGCACTATAAATAAAGTAGGCGGCATTTATTTGATTCATGTTTTTATCTAATTTTAACAAAGTATTGATATTTTCTCCCTTAAACTGGTTTTATGGATGTCGTCGGCCGTTGATAGTCGATTATTATTGGAATACTAAGAAAGTTAAAACACAATAATTTGTCTCATTTTTCACAAAATTACTATCTAATAATGTCACACTAATAATGTGTTGTGTACAGACAGCTCATTGTGTTTAGTACTCGACTACAAGTGACCGAGTTAATATGTTGAGGTGTTTTTTTTTATTTGTATATTTTATTATTTATTAACGTATTAAAATGAGTGATGGCAGAAAACGTTTAAGTGGAAGTGCTTATAAAAAAGTTGCTAAATTAAAATTAGAAAAAGAACAAAAAGTCATTTCTCAAACCGCAAAATTAACTTCATTTTTTGGCAATCAATCTCCAATTCGCCAAGTGAAATAGAGACTACAGCTGAACAGATTTTAAATGAGTCTAGTGATAAAAAGTAATTTAAAAATCAAATGTTAACTTTTGTACGTTATTTCAGTTTTATATAAATGAAAAATTTTATAATTTTTTAGTGAACATCCTCTACATAGTACTTTTGAAACCATGGCAAATGAAAATCAATTAATTGAATATTCGGAATTATTAAATACGCCAACTAAAAAACCCAATCCAACACTTTTGGGGGGCGGCAAAATTAAGTGCACCGGGCGGCAAAATTCCTAAATGCGACCCTGATAGTTCTGTTCTTTTTTTTGAATACTAGCAGGTTCTGGGCCCATATTTGTATTGCATTACCTCTGCTTGAAATACAGAGCGTGTTTGTACCCATTGACAGAAGAAGTAGATTTAAGTAATATAAGTGAAAATTTAATAGATTTCGACATAGTGAATAATAATACTCAGCAATAATGTTGTTCAGCGTTTAAATCACCAAAAAAATGATATTAGTAACCTTTTTGAGCGAATTCTGTAATAATAAAATTATAATAACATAAACTTACACAACCAACAGCTAAAAATAGTTAATTGCAAAATAAATTTGAACAATTATACGTATGAAATTTTGTAAAGAAACAAGATTTAGGAAAATCTATTATTT